TGGTGGTTCAAACCCAGCAGCCACTCCTTGGAAGGAAGACTGGGCAGTCTACTTCCATAATGATACCACCTCGGACACCCAAGAAGGGCTCACTATGAGTCAGGTCCATCTCAATGGCACATGACAACATCATATTTAAGAATGAAAATTCCTGCATCTTGAAAACAATTAGTTTCCCTAGCTAAAAGCAAAATATCCAGTGTTTTTAATGCAATTGTTAAAATATGGGAATGTCTGATGAAAAAAATAAAAAATATTATTTTCTTCACATTTCATTAAGACTGTTATTTTTAAAACTAGGAAGAGATTAAATTATACAATCCAGTAAAGTTTATTTGCTGTTCTGAACTTATACTTACCATAGAAAACATTCACACACAAAAAAATAAACTTTACTTATGTTACTAATCAAACCAATTTTTTCCCCATAATCCAATTAAACCTTAAACAGCTCTAACAGTTCCTGGCAAAGCTAATGATCTAGAGCTGCACTGTCCGATTAGGTAGCCACTAGCTGCATATAGCTATTTAAAATTAAATGAATTAAAATGAAATAAAATCAGTTCCTCCATCACACTAGTCAGATTTCAAGTGCTCAGTATTTCTATCACTGCAGATAGTTCTATTGGACAGCATGGATCTACTGCACCTAAGTGACTGATTTTGCTATCAGTCACCTTCCTTCCCACCAAGCACTTACTTGGAGAATGCTTGTAACTTCACTGACTGGTAATTCACTTGCTTTTTTTGATGTCAATACAGGAATCATTGTCTCATTTTCACCATTAGGTATTTTTTGAAAACGTGCAACCTAGGAAATAAAATCAAAGGAAAGAAATACTTTAATGTACAAAAAAACTCTTATGCAGTCTTAAACAACAAATGAAAATCCAAATATTCATAGCAACTTATTTTTCACAGTTGAAAAACAAGTATTTTCAGAATAATAATAAGTACCTAGTCCTAAAAGGATAATTTTATACTATCCATGTGCTGTTTTTCCAGAAACCACATTTTGAAAATTAAATCAGCTCTAATGCCAGTCCCAGCTAGGACACAAAATATTTTTCATATTAGATAAGAAAGATGCTGTTCCTACACCAATATAAGAGTAGAACAGTACAACAGATGTCCTGTCTGGCAGATCCTGATGATTTTATGTAGCTTTCTCTATTGTAACTATTCCCCTTGGTCAGCTCATTTCTTGTTTATTCAAAAAGGGACACCTGGCTACTCTACCGAAGCACCATGACTAGCAAAGAAGGAGAAGCAGAGATTAGACAGAGACGCAGTTAGGGGCTGGCTGTGAACAAGCAGGATAATTCACAGACATAGTGATAACCACAGTACCTACACTTTGACAAAGGTTTATAAGCAAATATCATCACAAAAAATGTTTAACAGAAATTCCAGAAATAAATGCCCAATCCAGATTTGTCTTGGGTTCTAAACTGAGGTTCTCTACAGATGAAAAGCTTTGAAAGCAAGTAGGAGAAAGGGAGGAAAAACTACCTACTACTAACACTTGAAGAGCCCAAATGGCACAAGCAGCTTGCAATCAGCTGCTACCCTAAAGGTTGGTGGTTCAAACCCACCCAATGGTTCCATGGAAGAAAATGCCTGATGATCTGCTTGTATAAAGATTACAGTCAAGAAAATCCTATGGAGTTGTTCTACTCTGTCACATGGCACTGCCATGAGTTAGGGGCTAACTCAAGGGCAGCTAACAAAAACTGACCGTTTAGAAAACACCTTAGTAGCCACACAACTAATCATGAAAATACTAAAACAAAAGCAACCATCTTATTGCAAGATAGAAGCCATTAAACTTTTAAGTAGAATGTTTTCAACCTTGAATCATCAGCATTTCTCAGATAAAATTTCTCTGAAATGTTTTAAGGCAATACTTCTTTAAGAAAATGATTGAGGTCAGTGAAGAATAATTTAAGATTACTATTACAGTGTCATTACAGAGGTCTGCATGCATAAAGAGTCTTTGTACATACTCTCAGAACTAGTAAATATGTTAGTGAAAAAGTATTCTCTCAAGTGTGACTGACCTTCTGGAACTACCAAATAGATGTTTTCTAATCTCATTTGTTAAAAAAAAAAAAAAAATACAGCCAAACATTTATGTATTTTAAAGTAAAAGAGCAGCAGTATTTTACATTTTATATTAAGAGCGATTGGTGACTAAACAGTCTCAGGAAATTGGAAGATAAAACCTTTCAGGACAAATAGGAAGTCTTAAAATGATTTCACAGTACAGTATTTTTTCAAAAGAAATTAAAAACCTTAGGAAAAAATTGGAAATTTCAGAAAAGTCATACACTTTTTTGTTTTAGAGCTATTGAATGTCTTTATTTCAAATCTGAAACAACCAGTTGCCATCAAGTCAACACCAACTCATGGCAACCAGGTATGTGTCAGAAGAGAAATGTGCTCCATTGGAAAAACCCTATATAACAAACTAGGACAAAGGAAAGAAGTGATTGAATCATCTCTAAGTTAAGCTTTGGAGACAAATACCCCCCAAACTGTCCTGAGTCTTATAAAACAATGAGAAGTGAATCAGTTGGCATAAGTTTTATTTTAACTTGTGATATCATAAAGCAAAATTAAGAAGAATCAAGAAGAAATCTGTGTCTGCTAGCACCATTTATTAGTATGCCAATAATCTTGGATGCAAATATGCTTACATGGCTTGCAATGACAAGTAGGTAATAAAATATCCTACACGTCTATGACTCATGAAGCTCAGTTTCTTCATATATAAAGTGAGGGTGGTGGTGGTGTTGTTATGTGCCGTCTAGTTGGACCCGACTCATAGCGACCCTTCCTTGGGTTTCCGAAGCAGTATCACTACAGAAGTAGATTGCCCCATCTTCCTTCTGAGGAGTGGCTGGTGGGTTTGAACCGCCAGACTTGTAGTTAGCAGTCAACTGCTTTAGGCACTATGCTACCAGAGCTCCTAAATCACATTGTTGTTAAGGATTAATCCATTAATACAGCACTTAAATACACTAATAATAAACACTCAAATAAGAGCTCCCAAAAGCACTCAGATAGTGATAAGCTATCATCTTATGGGGAAAAAAACAAACTCACTGCCAGTGAGTCAATTCCAACTCATAGCAACACTATAGGACATAGTAGAAATGCCCCATCAGGTTTCTAAGGCTAAATCTTTACGGAAGCAGAAAATATGCTTTATACCATAAGGACTAGTTTATTTTTTAGTGACAGGAAAAGTGGCACCAAATGTGGATACATTGAGTACAGAACAACTGCTAAAGAGACAGGGAGCCAGCATCTTCTGACCTCTTCTAATGTCACAAGAGTAAGACAGAATCACCATCAGCAGCCCAAGGCCTGTTCTTATAAAGCCAGACATGCTACCACCCTCCAGCCCTCTTACCAACCTTGACACCAACCATCCCTCCTGTGGTACCTACCACGTCTCTTATGGATTTGATAATTCGCTACAGTAGCTATACAGAATTCACAGATTATGGGGTTTATTAAGAAGTAACAGGCTATAATTCAAGTTCAGGAACACACTCAGGAAACGGTTCTTTGGTCAGACAGGCTCCCCTCTACTGTGCCCTTAGACACACCTCTGCCTCTGTGGGCCAGGTAAGCCTGCTGTTCTGTCTCGTGCCTCTTGGTTCCATGGCTACTATCTCTCAACTGGGCATCTCTCTCAGCCGGACATCTCTCTTAGCTGGCAGTGAGATTCCTTCTGCCTCAAAGAGGGCTCATTTTGAGCCTGGCAGAGTGGCAAAACCAACCAATCCAAGTATCAGAGTTCTATATACCCGAGAGACAGCAAACTTTCCCAGAAGATTATTTCATGCTGCTCCACCAGAAATACCCCAGATGGATAACTTGAACAATCAGAAGTTTAAATTGCATGGTCCCACCCAGTAATCTGGTGGGAGTTACAAAAACTATGGCTAGAAAAGCCATACCATGTAATTTATTATACCATGACAGCCAAGGTAAAAAAGAGTATTTGAGCACATATGGCTGAGTACAGGCAAATTGTTATACTCATCAGTACAGGTGTATACATAGATGAGAAGTATCTATAGGTATGTGTGTATACAAATATGTGGGTGCAAGCACATATACAAGCACATATATTCATTGAAGACACACTCCTCAGACATAACCAAACATCTAGCATTGGTCAACTGGGTTTCAAGGCTTACGACTATAGCCTCGTGAGACAACTCAGTCAACTGGCATAACATAGTTCTCAAATTTCATGATCTACATCCTAGTAACATGACTAGTATCTGGGGTCTTAAAAAGTTTGCAAGCAGCCATCTAAGACTCCACACCATGGATTGCTACTAGCCAGTAGCAAAAGTAACCAAAAGCTTAGAGAAGAAACAAATTTACAAAAGCCATGACCTCACCTACCCTGGGACCCGAAGAACCACATGATGCCCAGTTAACTGTACTG